GTTTGTTGTTTGTAGTGGATTGCTTTTTGTATTAAAAATTAAACAATTCAATTCAAAAAAGTTTATTATTCCCAATTTAAAAACATTTTAGTTTATTATAAAGTTTTACCAAAAATTATTTTTGCCAAATTAAAAATTTAAATTCTAATTCAGGAATAACTTAACCAAATTATACCAAAAACTATTTTATTCGACAATTATTTTTTTCTTGCTAAAAATTTACTAATAATACCAGTTTGATCTCTAAATACTGAAAAGCAAAAATTGGAGACGCCTGGTTTAATTTGTAAAAAAACAAATATTAGAAATATAATAAATTTTTATAATAATTGATAATGATTGTCATGATAAAAAACACATTCTGTAACTTGTTTGTATAATGTTACAGTATTATATAACGCAGTGTTACATTATAGTACTGTTGATGTACATTCGTTTGCATATCAAAATTTTTGTTTTTATTTACAAATTAATAAAAAAAGATATGTGTCAAAAAAGACATATCTTGACTTTTTTATCGTTTTGAACTTATTTAAAAAATGGTGATATTAAACACACAATCGAGCTATAATATAGCATCTTCATGAAAACACAATCGAATTTGACTCGTGAGTATTATAAATATAAAAGAAAATATTTTGATCAAAAAATAAACATTTTCTGGAAAAAAGCAAATCTTTGGATATTTTTACTATACATTACTATATTATAGAATTTGTCTTGTGAAAATTTAAACTATTTTTAGAAATTGGGTTTTGATAAACTATTACAAGTTAAATAATATAGTTTAAATCATTAAACTATATATATAATTTATATAATAGTATATTTATTTTTTGAATAAACACAAATTTGAAACACTGTTATAATAAACTAAAAGTACGTAAAAATCCGGGCCATTTTTGTTATTTGATAATTCATTTTGAATCAAACTCGAATCATTTTTTATTTTTGAATAAAAAACACTAAAAAGGAAGAAAAAGAAATAAAAAGAAACTATAATAACCCGACTTTTTTATTTTTTTAGTGTTCTGGAAGTAAAAAACACAATAATTTGGGTAAAAAAAGAAAAAGAAAATGAGTGCGGGGTTTTCTCCAGGTGTGGGTTTCTCGCCTCACTTTAATAAAAAATAAAAAAGAGAAAAAATTTCAAACAAAAATAAATTTAAAAAAGATAACAGAAAGAAAAGCAGAAAATGCACCTCTCAAAATATTAAACTGTAAAAATTATTATAAAATGCATTGACTACTACAGGCATTTTTTATATTTTTTTGAAGAGATGAACATCGATTTATAATAGTCGACAATAGCACGAGTGGAGAAGGTGCTGAAAGACGCCAAATCAAACAAAGAGAGCATTGACGACGTTATGTATTTTGGTGGGTCGGGAATACCAAATACAGTCCAGATATTATAAGACTTTTTTAATGAAAATTAAATTGTTTTTCAAAAGTCGGTACTGTCATATTTTTAGAATTTTCTAAAGTCTAAATTAAAATTAAAAAATATTTTTGAAGACTGTTTTTTACTACAGTAAGGGAAATAATCCATATTTATTACAAAAAAACCGATTCCAAAAAAAACAAAATAAATGCAAAAAATCGGGACACCCCAGTACTGACTTTTGAAAAACAGTTTAGATCAACAAAAGCATAAATCCAGATAAGGCAATAGCATGTAATGCTACTGTACGGGCAGCTATTCTGACTGAAAACAGTGTAGAGGCAACAAAGGATGTGTTGCTTCTTGTTGCGTCAATGACACTTTGGATAAGACAGCTGGCGGTTTGACGACAACACTTATGACACTCAACTCGACAATATCAGCAAAGAAATCACAGATTTTTTCGACATATGCAGACAACCATCCAGGCGTGTTCATTATTGTCTTTGAAGGCGATGTATCTTTGACATCACACTGCAACCTGTTTGGCAAGTTTGAGTTGTCCGGCATTTTACCCGCACCACGTGGTGTCCCACACGTTGAATTCACATTTGACACAAATGCAAATGGGATATTGAATGACTCAGTCGAAGACAGGACAACATATAAGAAGAACCGTATCACAATCACAAACGACAAAGGAAGACTCTCAAAAAGCAGATCTTCAAGATGGTTGCAGACGCACAGAAGATATTTGTTAAAGGTCTTATTACTCGTTTTTTTCATTGAAACTGTTTAAAATTTATTTTACTTCGACCAGTACATACTTTGTTTTGGATAGTCTCAATTGATGTTGTGTCATTTCTTATTAAAAATGATTGTTTTATTATTATAAATGGAAATAACTAAAATAACTCATGATTTGATTTATTTTTGTATAGTTTTAAATAATAATAATACTAAAAATTATTCTAAAAAATCGCATAAGCCTCAAGGTTTTGCTTAAGGTTTAATGACCATATTGTATAGTAAGAGGAAATATGGGGATGCTTGATAAAGGAGGATGTTCGTAACTATTGGTTAATTTTAATTGAAAAATAATAAAATTACTATTAATTTTAATATAAATTATTAATCAAAAAATTAATAAAATGAAAAAACCAAAATAAATTTATATTAATTATTTATTATTAATAATATTAAATTAATTAATATTTAGATTAGGATCCCCCTTTGATGTATTTGTAAACTATACATTAAAATTGATTAAATTAATTTTTACAAATTTTGATTTTCCCGTCTCCAAACGCTTAATCAGTGTTATTGTATTTTTTGTAATTTTACTACTCAAATAATTTGTGAATAGTAAAATTGTTTATAATAATAAAAAATAAAAACTCATAATACAACACACAATGGTATTAGAACAGCTGTTTCTCAGAAACGTCATCTTATATCTCCCGACACTTGAC